CTCATATACATGACTATAATAAGACCTATTTGGACTTACGGAGTTGAGCTATAGGGCTCCACTAAACCATCGAATTCCTCTCGCATCCAATCCTTACAATCCAAAATCCTTCGTAAAATCCTCAATGCTCCTTACTTTGTCACTAATAAAATAATCCATAAAGACCTCAATGTTCCATATGTTTCCGATTTGGCCAAATCCAGATACCTATCCTTCCATAATAAACTTCATAATCATCCGAATCCTCTTGTTTCTAACCTTGCTTCCTCTTCGATTCCTGATAACCCTCTGAGGCGTCTGAAAAGAAGATGGCCTTGTGATCTTCTCATGTAGACAAATTATTAGAGTGCTAACAGTGGGTAGTTTCTCAACAAGCGTGTTTCATGTGATAATATTTCTCTGTACACATTTACTTGATGTATTCATACTAATACAGTTGTAAATATCATAATAAAAGTTAAAAAAAAAAAAATTTCATGTAATGTAAATAATTTATAACAATGAAAATCATTAGGTGTGAATATCTCATATATAAAGCATTTGCGGACATACCTTCAGAGGAAATGTTTTTCTTGTTTTGAGGTCCTTAGTTCATTTTTGCAGTTTGGTCACTTAACCCCGAAACACTCTTCTGAAACACTCTTACACTATATATCGATATTGGGCCTTCGATATATCATCCCTAGGCAGATCCTGTTGTTAGAATGTATTTATTTATTTTACTTCATTTTTTGTTCAAAATATCTTTAATTATATCATAGTTTTGTTGAGGGCTACTTTATTTTTATTAATGTAACCTTTTTTGCAGACATGTTATCTGTTTACATTGAACATGTTTGCATTATTGTACTTATGAAATGATCTCATGGAATCAGCTCATCTTTTTCTGATTTCTAATGATCATATCATATCCATGAATATTTTCAATAAATTTACATATTATATTAAATTAAATACGTCATTAATTATTGGAAGGAGATCAACCTTATCTAGACTAGAGAAGAGATATTCCAACTATTTAGGTAAGAACGTTATATAGCCTTAAAGGTCACCAAGCCGTATTTCCCCTCGACTGACCTCAACTTCAGTCCACTGAGCGTGAAAGTCTTCTCATCTTGTGAACCTGTTCTCAGTCCAGGGAAAAGCCGAGTTTGAACATTTCACCCTCTATGGGAAACACGAACGTGTAGATGAGGTGTTTTTCTAGGCTTGTGTTTGTATCCGTCTCTGTGTGGGCGATCCACCAACTGTCGTTTTTTTTTTTTCAGGGAAAATTAAAAGCCATTTTGGTTATCTTCAAGTTAATTGTCCTCAAGTTTTTGGTTGATAAGGTTTGCGCGCTAGCAATATTTAATAACTGCTTCAACTACAATATCGAATCCCTCAGCATATTTACCAGGTAATCCCTCAAGGCCAACATCGATATCTAATTCGAAGGGACACGGCAATTCAAAGATAATTCTTAAAAACTATAGAAATAAATGTTTCACCACCTGAAATATTTTTATATTGTATTCTTAACTTTTTGATTAATTATATAATAAATAATAATTATACACCATAGTACAATGAGCAATCTAAATAACAAACAGTAAAAAAAAATTGAAGGAGTGAATGGGTAACTCAAACCGATAGTTTATGTTCATGTATATTTAATTTTGTTTTTTATTCTAATATGATATTTCACAATAATTCATATTTGCTTGTTGGCTTGTGGTAATAATTCGCATAGTATATTGGGCAGCAAACATGTGTCAGTATAATATGTAAATTACTGAATGGAATGTATTTATTACAGAGAGAAATTAATTTTAATTAAAAATAATAGACAAAAACGTCAGTACTAATTACAATAAACAGTATCTTTGCTAAATATGGTACTAAATATGGTATTGAGAATATCGTTTTGCCCCTCCAATAATTTGAGGTGAAAAAAATTAAAATTGATAACAAATAAGTTATATGAATGAATAAAAAATATAAACTAAAATCGATTTAAAAAATCGACTAACTGGCTAGGCTTAGGCCTATAACTATTTTATCCCGACCTAAATATTCCTATTATTTAAATTTTCATTTATATTTAAGGATAATAATATATAAACGTATACTAGGATTTTATGATTCATTCATCTCACATTTTTAGAACTCAATTTTCACGTGATTTTCATTCATAAATTTTTATTTTCTACGATAAATTTGGAAAAATATGTTTAATTAGTACAATGAGAGTATGTGGCTAAAACGCTCTTACTCTATCTCACATGGGAGGGATCTTTTGGAGTCCTGCTTTTCTCTCTATAGTTGGAGGGACAAGTCTTGCTTAGGGTTTCCTGCCTGATTGTATATATTATGTGTGATAAATATTAAGGACGCAATCATTATAAGGTTTTTATTAGTACCGACGTTTCAACCCAAACATGTGGGTCATCATCAGGGCATGGTTCGAACACTGAAGATATTCAATTACTCGGCACTAATAAAAACCTTGTAATGACTGCTTCCTAAATATTTATCACTCATGATATGTAGATCAGTCGAATAATTCCCTTCTATGTTGTATGTAGGTATGACTGGGTTTTTAATTTACTAACTTTAGGTTATCTTATTTTTTATTGTACATACTTGTTTGATTATTATTTATTTATTATTTTAGAATATATAATTAAAAATTGCTTCATAATAAATTAGACATAATTTCTTCAAATGCAAGTTGAGTTTGTCTGTCAAAACCATTTAAAGTGGACTTATGAGGAGTCAAACTACGCTAAGTTGTGTTTCATTAAATGGATTATTAGTGATGTTTTTTTGTCATCCTACAAATACCCTATTTTTAAAGAAACTTCCTTGTTTAATAAGCTTTAATTACATATCAATTTATTTGAGGTTTGTTTTTTAATAGAGTTGAGATTCACCTCTATTTATGTGAAAATTTGTGCGATTTGATATTCTTCTTCTTCTGCGTTCTTCCTTATATGACTAGATCAGGAACTAAAATGAAGAATTCGGTAGTCCTCTTCAGGTCCTCCAGGCTTCCATATAGTTTCCTTTCCAATTCAGTCGGAGAGGGCCAGATCACTCTCTTTGCTGGGAGTACACCATACACGTTTGTAGGATATTCTTCACTCAAGATTATCTATATTTTCAGCAAATATAATAACCAAGAAATTTTTACAAAGTTTTATTTTTTTATTTTTCTTGTGGTCTGACATCTATTTTATTAAATTAATTATCGATCCTTATTGTATCAAGTAATTGAGTAAATGTTTTTAATCTTAATATTTACGTTTACGTGAAAAAAGTCTAGTGTTTAATTTTTTATTTTTATAAATATTAATTTACAATAAATAAATAAAAAATACAGATACTCTGCATCGTACTAGAATCACATCTCACTGTTTGGCCATTTTATTTTTCTTAACCCCAGTTTCATAAAGGTTTCTTTCTTTCACATGGTTAACATATTCCTTGTACTGTATCTTAAATGAACGTGAGAACGTGAAAAATTTTGAATCCAAGTTTTCAACGGCATTACACGTTTTGAGGTCTTCCAACTTTAAAATAAGCTCTCACAAATTGTTCTGCTTGTGTATGTGAAGAGGCAAGCTGTTATTCAAAAAGTCGTATGAAACAATAAGTATGACTAGGATTTATATATTTAATCGATATAGGATCAATTATTTTTTTACAAAATATCTCATTAATTCTGTAGTCTTTATTTAATTATTAAAAAATCTATTTAACAAAAAAATTCATTATATCAATATTATAACGTTTCGTGTTTCTACAAGGAATTATCAATTTGTTTCACAAGTCCCACTACAAAACAAAAAACTGTCATTCCGTTGCCAAGATAATCTTGACAAAGCCATAAAGACCAATAACTGAAGATCAGGTGTTATTCGAATTCAGGCGGCTCTGAAACGTAAAGAATCGATGATCAGAATTTTTACCCAATCTCAATATTTTTCTTTACCTACTAGCGGTCGGCAAGTAATAAAAAAAATAAGAACTTTAGTTGTTTCGAATATTTATATCCTCATCTTCAGAAATATATTTTGTATATATTTTATTCGCCTCAATAATTCTAATAAGTAAATTTCATCATTATCATTTATCATACGTACACACTATACTTCATATTATTTTTTTTTTAATTATCCTTGAAACGTTAGGAAATGTAAGAGAAGAAAAAAAAACTAAGGTGTGTGCTTTAAACCACATGATAGAAGTGGAAACATGTACAAGACGAGATTAATAATATGAAATATAAATTATAAATCACAGCTCATTATAAAGAGGATTAAATGTTAGACATATCCCTCGCTTACAGTATGCAGGTCCGATTTTCAGTTAATGATATATTTTAATCCATATCTTCAATGAAGCTCGTTATAATTTAGTTTTCGACGCTATTTTTTTCCCTCCCCCATTTAACACGCGTTAAGATACAATTTTGAATAATAACGCATTACAGAGAGAATGAAATGCTGAACAATTCTCTCGCTTACAATCTGCAGGTCCGACTTTTAGTTTTTTAAAATATTTTAATCCATATGCAAAATCATTTCATTTAGTCGACTCCAGCCGACTTTACCAGAACGTTACACATCGTAGATCTGACAGCTCAATCTAATTCACTTTTCATAAAAAAAAAAAGTGCAAAACGCGCTTAAAGAAGTCTTAACCTCAAAAATTTAATTAAATATTAAAACGAAATAAATTACTCTGCAAAATAATAGTTTACAAAATAATTTAAATAATATTTTTATATAATCAGATTATTCAATGATTAAAGATATGGTATGACTATTGTACATATTCTCTATTTTCAATAAGTACATTTTATAAATTAGCAATTCATACTAAAACTTACATATACCTTTCATCATAAATATTCATCTCTCAAAGCAAACAAAAACTAACTTATATAACAAGTTAATATTTATATATTTCAATTTACAATTTAAATGACCTTTTTGTTTTTTTTTCTGTTACAGTGATTTGCCACCAGCTGAGAGAATGGTAAGTGATATCACATTTACTTCTTTCCATAATTGCTATTTTTTTCGTCTTACATTATAGCCCTTATTCGTCGTTTATCGTTTATCGTTTATCGTTTCGCCAAATTATAAAAATAATTTGGCGAAGTTTCCTGTTCATAATGAGGAAAGTAGTATTATATTTGATTTGTAATTGTTTGGGAATAATAAACAATTGTGTGATAATTTTCAGCGTTTTATTACTTATAAAAAAGAGAGAGGTTATTTATTTAAAACAAACAAAATCACCTCTCTACTTTGAATAGAAATTATATTCTGGCGATGATGAGCAATTATAAAAATTTTTAAATGCACTTTTAACGGAACTATAGCTTAAAGCTACAGACAAGAAATCATTAAATAAAATAACAAAAATCCTATTAATTATATCAACGGTAGAGAATAAAAACCTCGGTACTCCACCTGTTTTTGTAAACCATATAACTCCAGTCTCTGTGCTGTTTAATTTCGTTTGTACATCCTTCAGTATATATATATATATATATATATATATATATATATATATATATATATATATATATATATATGTGTGTACATACATAGACCGACAGATAGATAATTTATCGTCAAAAATAAATATTTTAAGAGGACCCAGACTGTGACAGTGATGATAGCTTTGACAGATTTCCAGTGGGCAGACATAACATGGCGTGCCCTTCAAAGATAATTCAGTCAATTGTGCATATGAAGATTGTTATCAATCCCAGAAATAATTGCAAACAGAGACGAGGTCATTTTCTATATTAACTCGATTCCAATCAAACAATATATACAGCTGTATCGAAAACAAACAATAGCAATCGATTATCGTGTATTTGCTAGTGTTATTTATTAGATAATTTAAAACAATTTTTTTCGATTTTTATTAATAGTTATTGTTTATTACTTGATATTATTTAGTAGTTATTCCATATGTTGTTCATCAGTGTACTACTTAAAAACGTATTTTTGCACAAGTTTACATGTTTAGCACAAAATCTAACCATCATACTTGAAAAAAATCTCACAACACATAACATTCACTTACCGCTCTACTTGAAATATAAATTATTTCTGGCAATGTTGGTCTATTATAAAATGTTTGCATTTTAAACGAAGCTAAAGCTTAAAGCCTGCAGATTGCAAATCATTATGTCCATTATAATTACAAAAAGTTGATTTATAATATCGACGATAGGCAATAAAAATCTAGTCACTCCATCTACTTTTATAAACCATACAACTTCAGTCTCTGAGCCTTTCAGTTGACAGAATGAATAACTCCAATTTCAACATTTTATAGTAATGTCATTTTAGTGATATTTTTAGTTGAAAAAGTTATCTATACAGTGAGTAAGTTGATTCCGAAGTAGGTGATTGCAGTGTTGAAATATTGAACTGTGAATTAAGGTATACATTTTGCCACTAGAAACATCACTAAAATTAATAATAAAGGATGTTGAAATTGGAGTTAGACCTTCTATCCAACCGAAAGGCTCATATATGCCTATAGAGGTTTGAAAGCATATCTGAATATTTAAGCTATAAATGATTATGGATCGTAGGACTATTAGTTATGAACCTTTTATTTTCCATTATAAAGTTTATTAAAATAAAATTACGAGATTTTCATTGCCTTGCCATGGATAGGTCGAAAGTTGTCACACTACTTGTAAGTGCATAATGTTAAGATTTCACAAAGGGAAAATTCATCAAATTATTCACTAATTTAATTTTCTAAAAGGTTACTTGAAAGTTTTTTTAAATAAACGGCCGATAGATAACTAATTATTTAAATATAAAATCTTATCTAGAGTTAATACTCTATAGTAAGTATATTTGAGGTTATAAACATATCCATGAAATATTTTTATATTTCACTTCTTCTTTCACACAAGTACAATGAAATGGTATTTTAAACAATAGCATTGGCTTGATTAGGTGGATTTTAAATACTTCTTTTTCAATCTTAGAAAAATATTTAAAACTTTGCATACAGTATGTCAATTTCATTTAATTTCCTTGAAAACATGTGGTTTACGTTTAATAATGTTATGTGATTTATATAATAATAGGTACATTTCAATAAATTTTACAGCTAAAAATGAATAATATTACAAAATGTATGTGAAAATCGAGGTGAACACAGGAGTTATGAATTATTATCACTGAAAATAAATAAAATTTTTATCGTGATAAAATAGTTACGTACCTACTTTTAGGCTTAGACTAGCCAGCTAATTTCTTATTTAATTGATCGATTTTAGTTTACATGTTTTATTCATTCATGCAGCTTATTTGTCATCAATTTTATTTATTTTTTTTTACCTCAAATTATTGGGGGGGGAGGGAGACGAAACGATATTCTCGCCCCTCAACATTTTTATTGGGGGAGGGTAGTAGAGAGGCGTTCGCTTCTAATGGTTATAGGCAAGTTATAACAACAACAACGGTGAGCAGTTTCAACGAAATAGCTTCGCCATAGCGGTTGGCAGTCATGAATGGCAGTCGCAGGCAGTACCAGGGAAGTAGTACCTTTACTCGGGTAAAAATGAGTAGTGTTGATACTTACTTTGTATAGTTTCACTACACCGCCATATCTGCTTGTGCTTTACTACGGCTCAGCTGTCTTCAGTTAAGCATGGCTTAGCTGGAGTCAGTGTTTCTTTCCCGCGAAACAAAATTAAGGTCAAGAAACATAATCACACTATAAATGAAAATCCGAGAATCTCCGAAAGAAATCAGAGTAGGTCGAACTATTTAGTAAAGTCCCGAATACAACTGAGTAGGTTTATTTATCCATTTTGAACTATAGTCTGAAAACATGTTGATCCCTAAGAGATTGGAATACATAACATTCGGTCAAGATATGGTTCACTGTGAGAGGTACCCCGCAGGAAAGACATTGAGTAGAAGAGTCTTTCCTCATTTAGTACTCGTGGGTAAGCCTAGTACATCCGATCCTTAGCCGGGTCAGTACCACTTCTTCCCTTCTGGTCAGCATGATATTTGGAGTGACTCCCCGGACTTATGGCTCGACAATCCTTAGCTTATTGTCTCTAGTGGCAGACCAAATTCTTTGCCACGCCAACCATGATTTTTTTTTATTAAAGAGACAACTTCCGAAGCTTGAGAGGTGATGATTGGTTGGCCCTCTTTGATAGCTCTCTTGGCCATGCTATCTGCCATCTCATTGCCTTTGATCCCGACATGACTTGGTAACCATACAAATTTTACCATACATCCAGCCATCTCCAATGTTTTAAAATTAGTTACAGTCTCGACTACTAATCAGTTTTGAGAAAAATGGTCTTGTATCGACGAGGGCAGATTTTGAATCTGAACAAATCACGACGCGGCTAGCTAGTTTAGCGTGAATGAATTTTACGGCGCGTTTTAGAACGGATTTATAAATGTTAGAGCATTATATTAGAGCACCCTATTAAATATTAATAAACGTTTTTTGTAGAAAAAAAATAATATGCATTACAAATTTATTTCTATCTAATTTTATTCTAAAACCAAACAATATTGAGATATTTGCTTTCAAAAGCCTTATTACAGTCAATTTTTAGCTAAGCGCCTCAAAATTTGTTCTTAACTTTCAAAACCGTTTACTCGAAACCGATAAGCAGTAGCCAAATTATTAATAGAACAAGTTTTATGTAGACTTTTATGAGAAACATTTTCATTTCTATTCATTATTTCCATCCGATCAATGGATTCGAAATTAAATGAAGAAAACTTATACAAAATGTCAAATTTGTGGGTTGAAGGAATGGTTCTCTTTTGATTCTTATCCCTAACCATAAAAGAAAACCTCCTGTGAAGAACAAAACTTTATAAATTAAAACTGTTTTGTTCACAACTTCATTTTTTTTTAAATCACATTGATCATATCTTAAAAGCAATATACCTTATATATTTACTAAAGGATACCAATTGTTGTAGATTCTATGAAATGGTCAGTTTTTTTTTTTTTTTGTTAATTAGTTAAAGGATAATAATAAAGATGCAAAAGGTCTTTGACTGAAAGAAAGGATAATGAGGTGGCGTCACAGGTACGTTACGCTCTACCTGGCCCAAGTACGTCAAAGAAAACAGGTACAAAGCCCCACCAAGGTAAGATGTTTACATGCTTCATACTTGCTCAAAGTCCCAAAAATCTACAAACGCTTGATTGAAACAAACCAACAAACGTGATATCCACACGCTTACTTGCTAAAAAAAAAAAGTAGGGTGGACGTCGAACTTGCTTCAGCTAATATTCAACTATTTATTTATTTAAAAATTTTATTCAATTGAAAATTTAGGAATAAACATTGGAAATATTGTGTAATTTATTTTAAAAATCAATCTGTAAATAAATCAAAATAAGAAATTACATAAAAGCCATTACATCGAACTTTGTCAATCTATTCATGGTATATAAATATATATACACGGTGCCCCGTAAGCAATGGATAATATTCAAAAGATTGATAGTGGACGTCAAGATCTATAAAAATGTTCATATAAACAATGGGCCAATATTCAGCGGAAAAGTAGCAAATCCAAGTTTTGTGTTTTTTTTTAAGTGAGTCATATTTTTACTTTCACTTACGTATATATGTAATATATAGTAAGGGTAAGTATTGCGATCTAGAAAATTTTTTAATGTGAGTTTTCAACGGAAATAGACGTTTTGATGTACCCTGAGTCGAAATGACCAAGTCCCGAAAAATGGTCTGTGTGTCTGTGTGTTTGTATGTTAGCAGACTAGCTCAAAAACGAAAAGTCCTACGAAACTGATATCACGTATTTAAGATAGATATATGCCTTAGATGTGACGACAACTTTTTCTTAAAATCGGCTAACCGGAAGTGCCACTTTATATCAACGCTGAAACACATTTTCACAATTTTCTCAAAAACGGCTCAAACGATTTTGATTACACTCGGTGTATCATTGTTTAATTAAGTGGTCTTTAATATTAATTAGGTCTTATCCCCGTTGATGTTACTTTACAGGTATTAAATGCCCAATGTTCATATATGTCTTCCTCTAAAGTACCTTTAATATAGTTTATTTTAAAAAGTTAATCATTTCACATTATTCAAAGTAATGAAAAAATGTTAAATCTAACTTTTGATAAGTTAATAAAGGAGAAAAAAAAAATGCAGAAAAACCTGCGTTGCTATAGACTGTAGCGCCTAAACGAATGTACCGATTTCAATGAAGCTTTGCTAAAGTCATTTTCTCGACACCCTTTAAATTTATCTATATAACATACTTCAACGAAAAGAAGCTGGAAAAAGTTACGAGAGATGGTAAAATTAAATTCCGAATAATTCCAAAACTATACACTTTTATATGTATATTGTGATAAGATGTTTCAAAGGTATTTAAATTTCCTAAAAAAAAAAAAAAAATTCGTTAAAATCGGACGATAAGGAGGAAAGATATGGTCTCTAGTTTTTTCTCTGAAGAGGCGAAAATTTGGATAAATTTAAAATATACTTTTTTAATTGTTGAGACTAAGAAAATCTTTTTTCTACAGATATTTAATAAAGTATCATTCCTAAGAACATCTTTCATAAGAAATAAGTACCTAAATTTATACCTTTATTCTCAGTTCTATATTTCAACGTTGCAACCACCCTCCCCCCCCCCCCTCCCGGAATCAACTTACTCATATTCTGCATAGATAACTAGTCATTCTGAAGTTTATAAAAGCAAAGAAAGTTGTGTGGTTTATAACAGTAGATGGAGTGACTAGATTTTTATTGCCGGTTGCCTGTTGTCGATATATTAAATAGACATTTTGTAATTATAATGGTCTTAATGAATTGTTATCTGAAAGCTTTAAGCTTTAGCCCTGTTTAAAATGCACTTCAAAAAAAATTATAATAGCCCAGCATTTCCAGAAAATAATTTCTATTCATAGTAGATTGGTAAGTGAAAGTTGTGTGTTGCACGCACCAGATTTTTTTTTATTGAATCGAAAGCAATAACTAAAGAAATATTTAATTAAAGTAATTCAATTATTGCTTCATTGTAAACAAGATGAAATTTACATTAAATGAACATAGATTTTATCATTGTTAAAATCATTTACCGAGATCTTTTGAGCGGCTAAACGAAGTTAGGTTGTGTTTTTAAAAATTTGGTGAGCGCAACACACAACTTTTACTTACGTCTCAATTTTGAATAGAAATTATTTTTTAGCCATGTTGGGCTATTATAGAATTTTTTAATTGCATTTTTAACTGAGCTAAAGCTAAGAGATTGCAGCTAACAAATCATAAATATTATTAAAATAACATAAGTCCTATTTATTATATCACCGGTTGATTATGTATTGTACGATTCGTTGATTATGGAATGTACGACTATAAGTTATTATATTGTTATTCTCCATCGCAAAGTTTACTAAAACGAAATAGAGAGATTTGAATTTTCTGTCATAGACAGGTCAAAAGTTGTCACACTGATTGTAAGTGGATTCTGTTGGAATATCGCAAAGGAAAAAATTATCAAATTATTTACTAATTTAATTTTCTAAAATGTTACATGATGATTTGTCGGAATAAACGGACGATAGATACCTAATTATTTAAATATAATGTCAGATCTAGAGTAATTAAACTACAATAAATATATTTAAGGTTATAAACGTATCCATGAAATATTTTTATATTTCACTTCTTCTTTCATACAAGTACAATGAAATAGTATCTTAAACAAGGTCATTGCCTAAGACATGAGTACTTATCTCAAAACCCTTCATGGGTTTCATGTAAAGAAACCCTTCCAATTTTAAATTATTTATTTATTAATTTTGCTCCCTTGTCCATGTTTTGGGTCCTTGAGCTTTCAAGATTTCATACTCTCTATCATATTTTATCTTTAAAACAATCCTTTAATTTTAACTAAAATTTTATTAAAAATAAATTTTTTAAAGTTTTAGTCAGTCTCCACTTATCAGATTTCATCTGATTTAGTGATGATGGCTTGAACAAGGGAATAAAGTATTAAATGAGTTATTTAAAATTTGAAAAAGTTTCTTTCTTTTACATAAATACTCATGCATTTACTATTATCCTAAATCGATAAATATTTTTTTAATAAACCTTTAGCAATACGATCCATGAAGGAGATTGGGTTCAATATTATGTATGGAAGTACTGTTTCTTGGTCAACGGTTGTAAAAGAAGGTGATTTGACCGAGATCACACTCAACCAGGTTTTCCCCCTTAATTAATTACGTAATTAAGGATACCCACATTATAGAGGCTGGGTGTGCTGGAGAAGGGTGTTCTGACACCCCAGGATCTATCCACAGCTGATGAAACAGAATATATATAATAGATCAGCGGCAGACCTTGAGCACTGGAAGTCAGCGCCCTACTATTAAGTTACCCTGTTTCCTAATAAATAATAAATGAAATATAAACCTAAAAGTATTATGAAATAAATTAATGTTCGAGAGGTTTATTTTTCTCTTGTAGTAGATGTAAGAGTAATGTTTACAAGGTTTTTTTTTTACCATTATCAAAACAACATTAAATAAATAAAACAAAAATAAAATTCCTGACAATTTCTATTAACTATTCTATTCTAACTTTAAGAATCATTTTCCAGCTCCAAAGCCACAAAAATATCTATAGTAAATTTCATAGTTGTATACTATAATTTTTTTTTTTTTATAACTCTTAGGCATGCTGTTTATTATCAAGTTTATCTTTTGTTTCAGAATGACTCAAAAGATGAAAAAGAAGAAATTTCTGAATCAAATCAAACTATTTTTCCAAATCTGAGCGATGCTGACTTGAGGCGGCTAGGACTTTGGGTTCAGTCGCCTAGTGAAGACAACAGGTTTGAACAAAAAAATATTAGATATAAATATTTATATATTAGTCTTTTTTTCTATATCTTTAACTGTTGTTCGATAGCTTAAAAATGAATAAATGTAGTTATGATGACAGAAGATTAATTAAGAAGTTTTGTTACATATTCATATCTTTTTCCTCTCAATTCAATTATGCTTAAAAATAAAATAAGAAAACAAATTTATGATTTAGTTTGAAATACTATTCATGTGATCTAACAATGATTAATATATTCCTGAATTTTTATTAGATTGTTTAAAATATATATATACAATATATATATATATATATATATATATATATATGTACAAGTACCATTCATGTTTGTTATAATAATTAAGTAAGCTAATCGTATGTGTAATTTTAACCATTAAATCATTTTGAATATTTTCCATGATATAACAAAAAAATAATTTTATTTTTAAAATTTTTTTTTCAGTGAATCTCTCATTGGAGAGGAAAATATAGAGGTATTACAGTTTTCATTAAGTTATCATTATTTTATAACAAATTGAACAATCCATTGACAATTTTCATTATTTATTTAGAGCAAATATACTTCTCTAGTCCTTGCCTTTAAGACTGACAAAATGACTCTGACGCGAAGACTCGAGCTTCAAAACAAATTGAGGGACCAGGCTGAGATCAATATGACGCACGAAGTGGAAGCTTTAAAAGCCGCTGTCGATGTAACAATCTTGATTATATTTCATCTTAGTATTATAAAATAATAATGTTAATTATATAATATTTTTGTTCTTTTCCAGTTATTGAACAATTTATGTACAGATATTGAAAGAAATGATTTATTTGAAAAAATCCGACACACAATTGAAGCATTATATAATTCTGCTCTCAGGGTCTCGAGCACAGCAGAAGTAATTTATAATTATAATAATTATATAAACATAATTTTATTATATTTAAGCTAACTCAAAAACCAGGAGTGTTTTTTTTTTTAGGCATTTTTAAAAATGTTAACAATACATTTTTAATTAATTTTAATGTATAAATGGCTTCACATCAAATGGATATCTGCCATTTTCATTAAGCTGAGAAAAAGTCAATTTTTGTTTGGTAGATATAACTATTCTTAATGCAATATTATTTTGTTTGCAAGCAGCCATTAATGAGAAAGACGTGATCTGAGGTATATTCAATTAACACCATTTACCACAATTCAAATCAAACTGTTTATTGGTTCAAATTGAAGTTATATTACAGAAAATTGGCTTTTTCTCAATTTTTTAAAAATAGCATGTCTGTCTTTGACATGAAGCCTATGTATTCCATATTAATTTAAAAAATATATAGTACTCTGACTAACAGAATATTAGTTCTAAACTTTCATTTAATTGTCAAATATCAATTATAGATATCCATTATTTTTTTTTTTTTTTTGTTTACTTTCTATACTTAAAATTGAACACTCTATTGTATTTAAAGATATTTTTTATAAATTTTGTCAAATAATTTTGGAATAAGTTACATAAAATCACAACTATTCTTCTCAATGAATCATAACATTTCGCAAAATTGATTTTGAAAAGAATATTATATTTTTAATTTATGAAAATAATAAAACAAGTTAATCAATTAATTCTAGGAGGTTAACAGATTATGGTTATTGTAAATGTTAATAATAATCAAAGTTCATGTTCCTGAATTAATTAAGAATTTTAATTGTTTTTTCTTATTAAAACTTTTTTTATTTACTTGCACACTGTAAAATAATATTAGAATGTACATTAGAATGAGATAAAATATCATATTTTGATTTAATAGATTTACGGTGCTGTGCAACAAGAAAATCGTCTCTCTAAAGCCATCGATATTATTTTAAAATATGTTGAAAATTTGAAACATTTATATGAAAAAGAGAAAAATGAACATGAGGAAACAAGGTAATTATTTTGTTAAATAACTATAACATATAAAATATCAGTTAATTTTTTTAATCATATAATAAAATGAAAAAAAAATGATTGTTTTTGGTTCCTGTACACTTTCTTTGAAATATTATATACTTTTTTATAAAATAAGAAGTCACAGAAAGCAAGTTTTATCAAACAGTACAAATATGATACAATTAAACTAATATTTCACTAATATATGATATGATTAAATACGTTATATTGATTATCATGATTAAATTTAATATTATAATACAAAGTTAAAGTTATTAAATTTATATAAATTTCAGAAAACTATTGAGAGAAAGCAAGACTCCAGCAACTACGCCAACGGAAGTAAGTATCTAAAAATTACAATTTGTTTATTATACTATTAAAATACTTAAATGTTAGTTATATATTAACATATAAGGATGATTTTGTAAATAATGTTAAATTATATTAGAACAGTAAGAGGAGGGCGAGCATTGCAACTTTACATCAGCGACAAATTCAAACTGAAGTTATCTCTACCTCAGGTGTAAGTAAAACGATATAAAAAGACAAAAAAAAAACAGAAAATAATTTAAATAAATAACAATATATTTAAGATTTTTTTATTTCCAATTACTGATAAACATTCTAACTATTCATAATGTAATATTATTATGTTTGCAAGCAGCCATTAATGAGAAAGACTGTGATCTGAGGTATATTCGACTAACACCATTTAACATAATCTAACATATTAAATTGAAAATTGAACAGAAGTTATAAATTTCATCTTTTTTTTTTTTTTCTTTTTTTAAGGAGAGACGAGGGAGCTCTTCAAGAAGGGGATCTCAACTACGAAGATCAACATTGACTAAAAATGATTCCCAAAACGAAATATTAAGAAATAAGTACGTTTTTCATTTTAATTTCTTTTCTGCTTTAAGCATACAGAGACAAGAAAAAAGAAATCTTTGCTTTATATAAATACTTCTAATATATAATAAATTTGTAACTATAATATATTATTCACGTAACCTACTATAATAGTTTGGACAACAAGAAGGTCACTCTAAACTTTCGATTTAAGTGTTTTCGGGTTGTTAGGATACTGCCTTTTTATTTTGTTTAAGGTTTTTTTACTGCAAAAAGTAATTTAATTTAAATTTTAAAATCATGAACATTTTGTATATATTTAGTTACTTACAGAAGTATCTTTTCCAAGAGCACTTAATGTACTTATGTATTCAAGGATCGATAAGCCATTATAATTTTCCTATTTATTTAAGTTATAAAAACGTTTTGAGCTATTTGGCTCATTTTCTTGTCCTTGTTAAACAATACTCATAGATGAAAGAGATAGTACCGGATTTTGGGTATTGACATGCATTAAACAAAATACGCAACAAAGAATGGTGGTATAATAATAATAAAACAATATAATAGAGACATTATGGAATTTTGATAACTTGAAAATGGGCAAAGTACAAGTTACTTTTTTCGAGTAAACATTGTCATAACTACATAAATAATAAAATTATGAGAGCTTATCGATTCTTGAAGAAATCCTATATAAGTACATTTACATTTCATTGGATCATTGTCTCATCTTAAAAATCACTCCTCAGTGGTTCATTTGTGTAACGATAGTCTGAATTCCCTATATATCACCGTATTACATTGAACTTAAGATGTCTTAAAATTTAAGATGCACCTGTTTTTGTTTCTTCATGTGGTAGGTAATTCAATGAACAAAATAATCATGAAATACTGTAATTTGGAAAAATCAGAAACAGAGAATTTTCTAAAATCATTATTTCGCACCTAGCTATACAGCCAAAGAAAATTGTTGATTTCCCATTTGGCAAAGTGACAATGTTCCATAGAATGTCATGTCCAGTGGCTGCAGAATATTTGATCAAGAAAACCAGATTTTATGTTATCACAAAAAAAAAACAGATTTTTACAGATGATGGCTAAATAGTAATAGCAGCAAAATTGTTGGAAGACGTATTTATATCACAACCATCTGGGACTTCAAGGTGACAAATGCCACCTAAAGACAGAAGTTAACAAAGATGAAATCTAGGAGGAAAGTCTAGTTATTCTAATTGCAATAAGACAAGAAGAGGTGACAGAAAATATTCTCCATGTTTTTTATTTGTTTACAAGTTCAGTAAATATTGATAATTTTGACCTCCTCAATAAACCAACTTTTATTCAATCATTATGAAAATTTAATTAAAGTAATTATTTTATATTTTCTCATTGTATCGCGTCAGACTAAAACCTTAGTACTGCATTCAAGTAGTAAAATGCTTTTGGAATAGCTACATTACCACAGTTTTCTCAATGTGATAAAACTCTTCAAACTAGTCAAATTACCATTTTAATAGGTTAATAATTAAGTAATTATAAGTATAACCATCCTACTACACAACAGTAATACGCGAAATCAATACCATCTTATTACCGTTTTAGAAGAAAATGAAATAAAGACTTTAATATTTATTTTGGTATTATAATGGTAAGGACTGTACAGGACTTCAATGGAAGTCTTTGACCAAAAAAAAAAAAAAAAGGTCAAGATAAGAAACAACAGTACCACTGTGAATGAATATATAAATAAAAGAAAGTGGATAAAACAGGAAAAAAAAAAAAGGCAGAATAATCATAACATTATATTTACACAAAAGTTTACAAAGTAGGTACTATCATAAAAAATACATATAAACTTTCAATAAACATGAGAATATGATTCACATAAAACAAGTAATATATCTATTAAACTTATTATTTTTTTTTTTTTAAACATTAATATTCGGAACTGCTAATAACACACAGTTATTACATGTGAATAATATACTTAAAAAATTACTATTATAAATCATTTGATATTAAAAATTAAACATAGGAACATTACATTACATTTTAATATAAGAAATATCCTCACATAATTGTAAAGACAAGTACGTTTCACAGAAAAAAAACAAAATTCACTAAATCATAGATTTGAACTAACGCATTGAAAGACACAGAAAATAATTACAACAAAAATTTCTTTAAATTAAACCAGTTCTAAACAATATATACAAATCTATGTACAGGACTTAAATAAAATAATATTTCAAGTATCAAATTAAAAGCAATCCTGAACAAAACATTTATATCATCTAGCTCTTAGATTTTTTTGGTAAGGAACCAAACGCAGAGATAACAATACCTTTGGTGCCTGTAGCAGCGGAAGTGAGAGTAGTAACATTGGTCTGCAAGCGGGGTCCAGCTTGAGGGTAAACAACCTGATCCCATTTTGATTTTCTTTTCTTTGTATCTTCTTCGGTGGCTGCAGTACCATTAGTAACCTTCTTAGCTGTGCCAGTTAAAAATTCAATTTTTGTTCTCTCTCTTCTCTCCTTTTCCCTTTGTTCCATATCTGCTTTCTGAAGTTTCGCCAGTTCATCATAGTAAGAAGTCTTATCCCACTTCAATGGATCATAGATCTGAGGCTCATAATTCGTTCCGAACTCATTAATATTGCAGTAATCAATAAGCTTCTCATAAATGCTGGGATTTCTAAAACTTTTTCTTTGTTGAATGATAAGATTCATATCGTAACCTTTTTCTTGCATTCTCCTAGTCATTTCCACTATCTTTTCTGTCAGGTCGCTAGAACAAGTACCTGTTGGTTCGGGTGGCAAATCTACATCCATAAATATTGGGTTTATAGAAGTATTAGTAGAACTTGATTGATCTGTAGTTGTGGATGTATCAGTTGAAATGGCTATTTCATGGTGTTCATCATCAGAAGCGATGGTATCATCTTGTGCATGATAGGATACTAGTGTTGTAGGTCCTTTTGGTTTTAGTATTTCAGGCTGTTTCATGTGAGCTGGTGAATCTATGATGATACTTTCCTTACTTACATTTTCTTCGCCTTCCGAATCTGTGTAGGTTTCCGTCAAAGATGCTAGTGCCAAACTTGTCATGGTGCTGTTGGAATATACTTTGAAATTAGTTAAAGCAGACTTGAAAACGAGTATGTAATAAAAACAACACTAAACAAACAGAACAACACGGGAGGTTATAGACCACTGAAGGCTAATCTAGAATGCGCTCCTAGCGCCACCTGTCGGCCAGACTTCCAACTATTCTCCCCACTCCTTTCTCTTTTAACCAATCAGATTTTCAAGTGTTTATTTAACTTTCCAATATCTTAAAGTAAAAAATAACTATGATTTGATACTAGAAAACAAGGAAATTGTAAAAAGGAATCATAAATATGTTTTTTTAAGAATTTCCACAGTATTAATATAATATAAATCATATAATAATTATACATATTCATCCTATATAATTCAACATGAGTGTAAATTTAAATACAAATCATAGGTTGTATCCATATAAATAAATAAGTTTATTAATGAAAGAATTTAATATTATAAGATAAAAAAAAAAAACTTTAACTACTACAAATCATGGGTTCAGTACTTTGAAAGGAAGAATTGTTTCTCGGCCATAGTTTGTGCAAGGAGGTGATTTGCCCAAGATCACGCTCAGCCACCAGGTTTTCTCTCTTCTTTAATTATTTAATTAAGTTTACCCACTACCACTGATCTATCCCACTCTCCTAATATTATAATGTAGATTAATAAAATGATATTTACTTCTAAATTAATCTAATTTATTTACTTGGTTTTATTAAATTTGTAGGTATATTTAAATTTTCTTCAGCTTCAATATAAATAATACGCAGAGAATACATTTAACAAAATTATTGCCATTAAACTTTTTAAAAAACTTCCTATGTAAGCTCTTAAATATTTATAATAAAATTTTTAATTAGTTCGTTGATAGTAATTTTTAATTTATATAAAATGCATAAATACTTTCTCATGAAAACTTTTTTTTTTACATTTTATAATCTCTTTAGTTTGAAGAAAATTCGATGTTTCAAAAAAACAGATTCCTAGATCACAATTTAATTACAAAATTTAGAAAACTTCTGACTCAAAAAAAGATAATTTTTTTTAATAAAATTTAAGCAGCATATAAAGATTCAAATTCATGATGAAGATGAAGAATTTAAAAATAAATATGTTCAAAATGGGAATATAGTAGAAAAACACTATATAGCAACTTATTTTTATTTTTTGCTGTTCTGATAAAATATTTAATTTTGATTTACTCCATAACAATATTTATCGAAAAATGATTTTTTATTCCAATTAAATCTTGAATGCATTTATAATTTTGCATTGTAATATTTAAAACCCACATGTAGACAATAATTTATTAGTATTAAGTTACAATATTGATTAAGTAAAAATACATTGTGTTTATCTTATTTGTTTTATGTAAATGTTTTTGTTGTTTAAAATCATTCGTTAAAGAATTAAATTTTATATTTGTTATCTATTTCAGTGGTAATGAAGGAGAATCTTTTGATAAGATATTTGAGGGATGTGAAACTTGTGGGTCAAGACTAAAATCTGAACAGGACAGTAATACCTCTCATCCTAATAGGTAATTTAAAATTGAAAAAAAAAATAATAATACATTCTTATAAATGTATTCTTTTAGAGAAAATAAAAATGATTTTTATTCTGTCATTACAGCTCAGATGAATCTTCGGCAGAAGAGCCTCGAGTTCTTAAAAGAGGTACAAGTTTTAAGGAAGAAGGGAATGTTGCTAGAAGAAGTACACCTAGGCACAAATTTAGAAAAAGGTATATCACTTACCAAACTAATTTTAAAACTTTAATTAAATAAATATGGTATAAACCCGGATTTGTGAAAGAAATTTTAAGAATTAAATTGCATAAAAATTTTTAATTTTATTCCTTAGTCTCTTTTTTATCTTCTTTATGATATGATACACGTTCTCTCTATACAACACAAAAGGATTTACAAAAACTTATCATGAGCTGGTTTTGAAAGTAAATTCGCGCTTATATGTAAATCTTTATAGAAGTGCTAATCAATTATTTTGATGAAAATCTGCAGATAATAGAACTGTGAAAAATATTTTGTCCATACCTACTCATTAATATAAAAGATATAGGCAATATTTTTTCAACTTTCAGCTCCAAATAAACTGGAAATTTCATTATTTATAAGTTAAACGATTTATAATGATTTTTATCATGAATGAAAATAAACATATTATCAGAAGTAGAAAATTAACAATAATATGGCAATTAGATACATTAATAGATAGATCAACTATTTCATCATAGCTATAAAACATAACCAACAATCAAAGAAAAACTTTAAACATTCTATAATTTCTATTTATACTCTATATAGTACCTCCTGATGGAAAAAAAATTGAAAAAGATATTGTGGAAGCTATGCTCTATCAGAGGTTTAGTATTGAACTCTCTATAAGAAGAAATTCTTATAAAATATGTAAAATTATATAAAAATAAGTGATTTAGGAGATTCTCAAATTTAAAAAAAAATTAATTAATTAAATATAATAATCAAATAATTTTTTCCAGGTCCTCCTTCACATCACCATTATGGTTACAGAAGATGTCGAAATATTGGCATTGGTTAAGACCTTACGAAGACTATGCACTTCAAGTTCGTTATTTCATAGCCTCCTTGTTCGTCTTGGCTGCATTTTTCGTCATGGGTGCCAGTTTTTTTCAAAGTGTCGAAGCTTAATGCCTTAAAACAGAACAAAAATCCAAGACACTTTTGTGAAATAAATAAAATTTAATGACAATAATCACTTGTGTATATGCATATTAAAAATTGACGCAGCTCATCACTTACAACTATAAGAATTCTAATTACTGTCCCTTTTCTTATTTTAAGTCAATTAGTTTTCATAATTATTATTTCTTTAACACCCAAATGCTGTATTTATGAGTTATATAAAATAAGAAAACTCAATTCCAAAGAACATACACTTTTTAATATGCTCTGCCATTTGGTTAATATGTCTTTTGAATAAAACCTTCCAACACAAATTTAGAAGCATTAAATTGGAAAGTAGATCCCTGGGCTTCCTTTATCGGGAAATCTATTTTTAAACAAGCATCGAGTACATAATCAATATCTCGTTTGGAATGGGTTTGTTCTCTTCACAAATGTAATCAACAGCAATCATATGTCAGAAAAGTGTGTGAAGAAGATATGAATGGTACTTCGTTCCATGTGCCAATTATGAATGTCCATTTTTTATATTAATTTTATGTTATAAAATTTATTTTGGTTTTAATGTATTTCCTAAATAAAGCTATTTATATGTATATAAATGAAGATATGGAACATTTAATATAACCTTTATTATGATTACTGTCTGAATGTAGTTTAGAATATTTTAAATTACATAGATTGTATGTAATCAAGAGTCCAAAATGTTTTGTAGCCAAAGAAATTATATATACCTATACCAATCAGCAATATATGAATTGTTCGAATGTCGTTGCTTTGGTTGTTGTGATAATATACCTATTATGACGTGATCATTTTATACATGTTATTGTTATTTCAAAGTTACAGGTTAAAGTAGATAGCTCCTCTTAATCCGTGTGGACCAATATAACTGATAATACATGATAGAGTACTTAAAAATACATGTCTGATAACTGTAAATTATATGCATTGATAAGTACAGTGAAATTCCTCTGCAGTAAGAAATAATTATTTTAATGGTGGAAATCTTATTTAATACTTCTTTGATTTAATAAATTATTCAGGAAGTTATTTAATTCATTCATATTTACTTTCATATTTTCCTTTTAATTAAAAAAAAAAAACTTCCTTTGATTGACAACTTTTTGGTCCTTACCAAAATTTTCAAATTTATCTCCTTTAAAAGAGACTTACTTGGTCAGTATTTTAAAATAAAAAATAAAACATATTTTTGTATTTTGTATTTTAAAAAGTAAAATGTAAAAGACATTGTAACTGTATTTTCTTTTTAAAATACAAAAAAGTATTTGTATTTTATTTCCAAGAAACTGAAATACAAAAAATGTATTTTATTTTGTATTTTAAATACACTAAATAAATAGAGTAGGTTCTTTGTATTGTACGGTGATCAGGCATCAGAAAATATTTTGTATTTATATTTTATCTTTTTGTGATTCAAATATAAAATACTTTTAGTATTTGCACTTTGTATTTGAAATACATTTTCTGAAAACAATTTAAATACTTTGTAATTAAAATACAGTGTATTTTAAAAACAAAAATACATGGTATTTTAAATACTGTATTTTAAAATAATATTTAAAATGTATTTTGCCCAGGTCTGCTATAAAACCGTTAATATGTCAAAAGAATGTATATTTATTTTAATATTTAAATTTACATTGCCAACAATCTTTCTTATATTTTTAACAATTTAAATAACTGCTTAAACAATTTTCCTTTTTTTTATAACAGACGGAAAATCCATTCTCATTAATGAACTTATTTATTTTTTTTTAATTTTGTATTGTTAACTTAAAAACATTATCTGTGTTCTGCCCTTACAATTCTTTCACTTTTCCTCTGTTGTAAAACAATCCACGATTTATTTCTATAATTATTAATAATCATTATTTAGTTGCTCTAATTTTAATCCATGTTTTATTTCTTTATTACCAAATAAATTTGTTAATAAGTAAACTTTCACAATCATACTGTGTTTTTACAATTGTCTCTAGTCGTTTGTCTAAACTATACCGTAGTTTATCAATACTCCACAAATTCCTTTCATTTAATTTTCTATCTGTTTTATCTAGTTTTAATTGTTTTTATTAATAAAAAAATTATTAATTGCTCATTATTATCTTTTTTATTTTTATTTCATCAATAATGTTGAAAAAATGCGTTTTTATATTTTTTAAAGCTGTTTTAGAATTAACCACCCTAATTATATTTATAGTTATGTAAACAATTCTAAATTTTACTTAATTTTATTGCTTTTTGCAATATTTAAACAATTCAAATTACAAAACAAAAGAAGATAAATTTTGAAACATTCAATATTATAAATAACACATTTAATATTTTATTTTCTCTAAGGAATCGATTTTTCGAAGAAAATCAATTTTTCTTATATTTAAATTGTAATTCCAATGTGTGCCATTGTTGTGATAATTTTATTTTTTTATTTTGGATTTATATCTTGTAATATGAATTAAATTAAATGCATTTATTTAAAGGAGTAAATAATTAATTGAGTTTCATAGACCCTTATCTTCAGCTACATATAAGAATAAATTTTAAGAGGGATTTCTCTGTATACGAATACATATGTACTTACTGTGAATTACATGTATTTTTAATACATACTTATTACTGAAGCTCATTAAAAGCATTTGCCAATAATAAGATTTATTATATTATGAAAATAAACTGTAGAAAATGTAGTGCCCTAGGAAAATCCCCAAGATAAATGAAGGGGAATTGGTCTTTCAATTTTAATAGTTACCATAAACAAAATAGTTGGTATTTATAATATGCATTTGAAAAATGGAAATCTTAGCTAAGTTAAGTAATCTCTTAGTCTAAATTACATAGTATTAAAAATGTTCAATATCAATTATAAGTAAAAGTCTTTAATGAAGTAAGGTCCCATGATTACTGATTTTTTATTTTAAAAATATGGTATCTAAAAAGAGAAACATTATGCTATAATTATTCTGAATTTTATTGATTGTAAATAAGTGATATTGTATTGCTACTGAAAATGTTTATAATTAATACAAACATGTACTGTTTATTATATCTTAATATGTTTATGGTTTATACCAAATTATATTTTATATTTCTACCTAATATTGTTATGTAGTTATTTATAATTATAATTGTATATATGAATCAAACTTAAAAATTGTTGACTGTTTTATTTTATTACTACTATAATTTTTTTTTTTAGAGTATTTAAAATTGTATACATCTGTCTATTGTACTTAAATGTAATTAAAAAAAAATCAAAGCAAAATATTAATTTTTTTTACCAACTCTTACTATGTTTAAATAGAGTACTAATTTTCAATTTATTAGCCGACCAAGCTAAGCTGAGGGTCGTCCACTAAAAGTTTAACGTTTTTTTTATCAAAAAACTGGATAGATCTTTAGTTTGATGGCTCAAATTATTTGGTGATATCACCTGTGTGTTTTAAACAGTTCGAGCTATAAATACTGACCCATTATTAAATAAAATGTATTTAATCTATCCGCAAAAAGCTAAGTAACGAATTTTTAAGCAAACAGCTGGATAACTTTTTAAGTTTAATGGCTTAAATTATTTGGTAAGATCCTCTGAGTCTTCTGAAATAATGTCAGTTAAAAACACTGACCTGTGATTAATATAATGTATATAATGTATTAATATAGTGAAATAATAATGACTGAATTGTGATTATTTGTTCCACTATATCGACTATAATAAAAATATTCTATATCATTAACTATGAGCAAAAGATAATTCTCAAATACTTTCTACTGATTTGCATGTTAAGACATTCAGTTTTATTCAGATTTTATAGTCTGTACAATCAGAAAAATTAATTTTAAAAAATTAACAATTTTTATAACAAAGATTGCAAATCAATACTAATTTTATCTTATCAATACTTATCAAGTATGTATTTTCGATTCCCACTCTGGCTTATTAGTATCAATATCTTGGAGAATATAAGGACATTAGGCCAAAATAAAGAAAATCATTTTCTATATTAAGTATTCTTTTGTTACTGAATTGATTTTACACAGTTATTATTTACAACATAAATAATTTATTGGTGGTAATGGGGTCTAAAAATGAATATTAGAGATACAAAGGAAAACAGGCAATGTGATATGATGTAGCATGTTGGAAAGTTTATCAAAGATATGGACGAATACATCACTATGGTTTAAATGCCCAAACTTCAGTTGTTAAAAATAAAGCAGATATCACCTATTTTTTAACTTTTTATTGAGTTATTAGTATGAATTTATTCAAAATGAAAATCTGCATTCTTCCAAGAAGTTTGAATATGAAAAAAAAACATAAATGTTATTATTTTTCTCACTTTTTGTCCAACAGTTTACCTTAAACACTTCAGTTTTCGATAACATTCAATTGCTGAATGCTTTAATAGATTAAAAATAACTATAATAACGTGGAAATATTTACTAAAAAAAATGTATCATTGATGTTATGTAAAAAGAATGAATTCATCAAATTTCAATTTCATAACAACCTATGAATGTGTGAAGAGATTAGGATGATTGTAATAGAGTGTCTAGGGAGTTTAGTACAAAATCGTCATATTCCCTGTTTGAGAGATTAGAGAGATGTAAAAACGGAAAAAGGTGATCAGCAAAGAGTTCTGATTTTTCCACATCTGACACCTCAGAAGCCATCATTTTTACGAAACGGTGGAAGCTTTTTAGTGTGTCTTCTCAAGCTTCTATCGTTTGCTGAGAGGTTGTTAATGTCATATTTTTCTTGATTATAACCTGATCTGTACCATTAACAACCCATGAAGGGTCTTAGGTTCAGTAAAAGGTGAGGAAGTACTGTTAGAAGGTCAACGGTTGTGCAGGGCGGTGATTGGGCCGATATCACACTCAAACGCTCAAATTGTTTGTGATTAAATTTTTGTATTTATCATTTTAATTGGTTGTTAAGTCTGTTAAATGTTCGGTTTTCTCTTGGCTATGATCAGATTCCTTTTTTATTGCTGGTAGTTTGGTAGATTATCTAATTTTTGAGGTTTAGGAACTGAACATGACCAAGCTGTTTTTTGGAGGTGTACTGCTTTCTCTAACTCTTCCTTTGTTTTAATTTATATGGAGATTCAGAGTGGAATCCAGGATATTCTTCTTGGTATCTCAGTCCATTGTCCCATTAATAGCAGATAATCATCTTAAAGCCTCACAGGGATCATTCAGCAGTAGCAGGTTCTATCAGAGGTAGTGTTGACAGTGTATAGTAAAGTTCTAAGTACTTTAGTGATAAAAAAGTCCAATAAATCAGGTGTTTTATTGACACTTGAAGAATTACTAATACATAGTTATGAGACAGGTAACATAACTAATGCTCTCTCAAGGTTCAAAGAATCCCCTTATTCATGTTTTTTGTAGATATTATAAAAGACACATACAATGAGGCTTAAAAAAAAAAAACAATGCTTTCCCAAGGCACCTGGAGGGGTTCAAGACTTCACTCGACCATATACCATCCAGAATTCTATCAGAGCGAATGTATTGTAACAGGTGGTCCAATGCTACATTGAGAAGATAGCGTGGCTGCTGACATTAGATCTCTGCTTAGTATCAAAAATTGGAAAGATAATTAGGGTATACTAATTTTTGAAAATTTAAAGATATTATTAAAAAAAATTAATTGGTCATAAGAGAACTACAATAATATTACATGGCTGCTCAAATGTGTTGAGTTGCTAAACCACACAGCATACTCATCAATTAAATGATAATATTGAAAAAGATTAAAAGTTAATAATCTTATTAAATAGTTAACCTTGCCTAATCATTTGTTCAACTTATATATATGTTTTTTAATATTGTATAATCAAAGAAATAAATGACAATAATATATTTTGCTCGCAAGAATATAGCAGAAAAAAATCTCCCCATTCCACTAACCAATTGGACCGATGAAGGATTGAACTATTACTGAAATGTTGGTTTTCATTTTGCCTGAAATATGAATTTTATAACTAAACTTTCAAGGTATTCGGAGGTGAATGTTAGTTTGAATTTAGCGTCACGTGAGTTCATCCTCAATCTGCCATATTTTGGTGTACAAGCTATGATGATTACTTCTATTTACTCATCTTTAATTTTAGATGCTAGCTGCAAATATCCGTAAATTACAAAATATTATATGGAGATAATATAGCATGCTTACAAGAATATAACAGAAAATGTTCCCTTTCCACATATCAATTGATCTGATGAACGATTGAACTATAATTGAAATGTTTGTTTTCATTTCGTCTTAAATATAAATTCTACAATTGAACATTCAAAATATTTGGAGAGGAATCTTAATTTCGACTCAGTGTCACGTGAGTTCGCCCTTGGTCTGCAACATTCTTGTGGACAAGCTATAATGATTACTTTAAGTTTTATTCACCTATTTTTAAATTTCAGATGCTAGCTGCAAATATTCAGACATGACAAAATATACAATCATGCACCAAGGTCTTGGTTGCTACAGCTCTTCATGTCACCTCATCGCAACGCCTTTTCTAATTATGTTAATGATTTTCATGAAATTTACTTTATAGAACAGTACAATATAATAGAATGAAAATTATTAAATTAATTAAATTATCTTATAGATGGCTTGAAGATGGCTAACCAGCCGAAACATAACTATGTAATTTGAAATAAATATGGTTAAGAAATAAACAAAGCCTTATTTTCTAATAATAGAATGAAAATTACTTCATTGAGTGATTTTTCAAGATTAGTGTTAATAAGATTTTATTTTATAAAAATCCTTCTGGTAAATTAACAAAAGTAGTTAATTCCAATAGTGTGATTTTTCAAGTTTTTTACCTAAATACACAGATGATTTATGTTCATAAATAAACCCAGATGATAATGTAATAAGATTTTGGTAAATCAAAAAATCTTAAATCTTTGGCATATGAAGAAGAGGAACACCAAGGTTGCGGTGAATTGATGACATATTTGCAGGTGCACGATCCGTGCTTGTTGTCCAGAACTGGAAGACGGCAGCGCAGAATATGGATGACTGAGAGTCAAATTTGCCAAAGGCCTTGTCTTCGCAAGGAACATAGTGCCATATAAGAAGAAGAACAACAAGGAATATTAAATAAAATAGAATACAATAAATATATAAAAACAATTAATGTGTGATAAAAGGGACTTTTTAATTAACTATAAAAAGATTTTTTTAAAAAGTTCAATTATCTAACAGTTTTGCCTTTGTCTACTATAATAAATAAAAACGACAATTTTAAATTAAATTTTAGTTAAAATTTGAGCAAAAAGTTGAGCATGATCTCAGTCAAATCACCTCCTTGCACAACCGTTGACCAAGAAACAATACTTTCCCTAACTAATGCTTAACCCAAGACCCTTCATGGGTTGTAGTGGTACAGCTTTTTTATTTTGTAAGTAACAAATATTATTAATACTGAAGATTGTCAATTCATCTATTATTTATATGAAATAAGTCTTATTTTGTAATAGTGATACAGTCATAATCCAAAGTGTATTCCAGAAAATAAATTGTAGAGAAAAAACCTCTATATAAGAAAACTGAGATGTAACACCAGCAGATACAATTATCTGAGATATCTAACCAAGTTTAGTACTGTTTTAACATAATTTCAATCCTTATTTGCACCAAGGTTACACTTCAGATAATACTTATGGTGTGAGGAATATTGGAGTGCTACCAATGGGTAGTTTCTCTTCATGCTGTACATGTCATGTTACTTGTTTCATATTTACTTGGTGTATTTATCATTTAATACAGTTTAATCTTTACTTAGTAAATATATATTATAAATGTGAAAAATGTAGTATAATATAAATGGTTATTTTTATTTCTCTTAAATGCTGTTTGTTATTTTGTAAAATATATAATTAATAAACTTGTGTAAAATTTTTATATATTACAACCCAAATTTCTCACAATAAAGAATAAAATTTGAAATAAGTCTTATTTAGTTATAGTGATAGTTATAATCCAAAGTGTATTCCAGAAAATAAATTGTAAAGAAAAAAACCTTTATATAAGAAAACTGAGATGTAACACCAGCACATACAATGATCTGAGATATTTAACCAAGTTTAGTACTGTTTTTACATAAATTCAATCCTTATTTGCACTAAGTTTACACTTATAAACCAACGACTTCCTGTCCTACAGTTTCCTTTAACAATACTCCACTTATCTCTGTTGAGCAAATCCGATACCTAGGATTCCACCTGGACAAACGACTAA